CAGCCTTTGAGGAGGTGACTCCGCAGGAGGTCGAAGCAATTATTCGAAAAATGAAGCCAAGCACATGTCCCACTGATCCACTTCCCACCATCCTGTTAAAATCTAACATCCCAGAACTTAGCCCGCTCATTACCACAATTATAAACTGTTCCCTTCGCACTGGCACTGTCCCCTCTGCACTCAAAACCGCACTCATCAGACCACATCTTAAAAAACACAACCTCAATCACGATGACCTGGCCAGCTACAGGCCCATCTCCAACCTTCCATTCCTCTCGAAGGTTTTGGAGAGGACTGTAGCTGGCCAGCTCCACAATCACCTCCGTGCAAACTCGCTTTATGAAAAATTTCAATCCGGATTTCGTTCTGCGCACAGTACAGAGACAGCCCTGGTCAGGGTCACCAATGACCTCTTGATGAACTCTGACCAGGGCCCCCACTCACTTCTCATCCTTCTTGATTTAACAGCTGTTTTTGATACGGTTGATCACAACATCCTGCTCCACCGCCTACAACACAACATTGGTCTGTCCGCAACAACTCTCTCCTGGTTCAAGTCATTCCTGGCAGGTAGAGTTGAGTACGGCCCCGCATTGTCACATGCGGGGTCCCTCAAGGGTCGGTTGTAGTGTCTCCTGATCTTTGAAGACAGGGTTTCCCGCACACATGGATAGTGATGGAGAAGGAATGAACTCTGAGTTATGATTAAAAGGAGTTTAATGACATAATCAGAATACGTTCAGTTCAATTCAGGCAAAGAGCTCTTCTGCCTGGGTCTCCTCTCTGATTCAGGCTCAACGCCAGAAGACCCAGAATAGAAAACTAAACTGGGTTACTAACAGTGGCGGCCGGCCAATAGAGGGCGCTAGGGCGCCGCCCCACCACTCACAACTTGCCATGTTACCTTGAATAAAACGTTAAAAAAAATAATAACATTAAAATATTTCGAAATTTATGTGTGTTTTATTTCAGATGTGGAAGAAATACTTTATAGTTTATGCTGAGTTGGATTGATTAAGCTCATCAGCGTTGTCTGTGTCGGACTGAGGACGTATTTCCGCCTCAGGGCGCAAAAGATTGCGCCCTGAGCCGTCTATGGACTCTCGTTAAAAGTTGTACATGCGCAGTAGCTCCTCTTCAATGCAAGAGATAAGACGATTTGGGGGCGCAGGAGAAGTGCGCCCTGAGGGGGCGGGATCGCCCGCGACCTGTACTGTCACTGTCTGTGACGTCCGTTTACAGTGATTGACAGGTCAAGCTGTGGGAGTTTGAGACGAACGTAAAGAGACGCAAAATGGAGAACGAGAAAAAGAATAATTCAGTTAGATCACTCAAAACAATACCGTTTGAGAGAAGATCATACCAGGAGAAGGTTGAGGTTAAAGAGCTTGGACCTGATCAGCCAAATATTACCATTAGTCTAATTTAGTCAGCAGTCCAGCGACAGGGGGGGACGGTACACTCGTACTTTTTCCAGGACCTGGTTCAGCGCCAAATCTTGGCTAGCAGCATGTAGCGAGGCTAATGCTTTATTTTGCTTTCCATGCCTCTTGTTTCAAACATCAGGATCTGACCCAACATGGATCAAGACAGGTATGACTGATCTGAAGCACTTTTTAGAAAAGGCAAAGAAGCATGAGCAGACTGGTATCCACATGCAAAATGCCCTCAAATTAGCTATGTTTGGGAAGATAAATATTTCATCCCAGCTGGATGAAAGCTACAGGGTAGGGATCAGAAAGCATCATGTGACCTTGTTGATTCTCGTGTGAGGCTTCAGTCACAACAGTCAGTGTAAACTTACTTACTGCTGGTATATATCTAGTCATCATATTCATAGCCCCCCCAGTAGAAAATTCCACCAGCCGCCACTGGTTACTAACATTTACCTTTACCATATATGTCCATCTGACCTATGATCCTAGACTCTTAAAATAAAAAGCAAGCCTGCTTCTTTGTGTCCTGGTCAGCATTCCTGTTGGATGTGAATAGAACAGAATACAGCTCATTTACAACATCCCCCTTTTTCAGATTCATATGTGATCATTTAATGCACTACACTGTCTTCTGTCTGTGAGCATGAGAGCAAAAACAACCAACACCATCTGTTATTTCAAATTCATATTAGCTTGTTGGATAAAAATTCTCTCACAGCCTCAAATAAAGATCATTTGTCTTCATGTGTTCTGTTGACGACTACAAACATTGCACTCACAGATCTGAAGCTCACAAAAACTAAAGATGACCGGTATAGGGGATTTTATTTGATTTAATCAAAAGTCTTCAGTACTGACTTCAATACTGACCAACTAGTATAATATCCAATTAGTAAGTAACTGTGTTCCAATTACAGTTACTCCAGTTATTGAGTCTCCTAATCAAACTTAGTTCTTTATATTTTCCTTAAATCCACAACACTGAATCATCAACTGCAACATACCTACACATCTACTGTATCAGAAAAACTCAAACACTAAATAATATAGGATCACACTATATATTTAGACAAATCTTCTTCCATCTTCTGTTGATCTCAGTCCTCACAATACTTTCTTCTGATGAATCCAGTCCTGCATCAGAGCTGTTAAGACCCCGCTTTTCTCTATGTCCATTGTCCAACTGTCCAATGTCCATCAATCACCATCATCATTATGTCCTGAAAGAATAGAAAAAAAACCCAACCAGTATCTGGCAATCCTCAAATCAACATCATATGAACATCAAAGAAAAAGAAAAGAGTGTTTTAATAACAGGGTGTATTCCCCCTTTTGATTAAACAACCACAAGTTTAATCATGAATATTTCAGTCCATGTGTCCCAGTCAAATGCAGTTAACTAAGTCAAGTATTTACCAATTAGTTCAAAGTCCAGTCACCCTTTCTAATCATCAGTGTTCATATTATCCTTCTGTAATAATAACCAAAGCATCAATAATAATAGTCATCGTATCATATTAGTGTCATTTTGCTACAATTGGCAAATAACATAAATATGAATCCGCTATCAGTCATATTTTAATCTTAATCTTTTATCTAATTTAATGTTTATGTTCTGTGTTAACTGATTACTCTTCTCTGAGTATTTGAAAAATGCTAAATCCCTTTAAAGTCTCATTGGTAAAAACCCCAAAGTATGTCTGTTATACTTTCAATATTGTCATTCAAAAATGTAACTCCATACCATATGTGTAATCTAATCATTTGAAATAAACACTATAAATGACATAAATAGTCAACTCATAGTCTAATAGTCAAAAGTCTAAAGTCCCAAATCAAACAAGTAATTTTCAACAGCAGTTGTCCTGTTGTCGTCACAGTCACTGTAGCTGTAGCAGCTGTGGCTGTAGCAGCTGTGGCTATAGCAGCTGTAGTGAATGAATGTGCTTCTTCTTCTCAAGATCATTCCAAACGCACCTGTATCACATCCACTCACTCTGAAAATGGAGGCGTACAGTAAAACATTCACCTGTGTTCAGGTAAAGCTGCTTCTCTATGATGTTCTGTACTGTTAGCATCTTTAATCTTTGCTATAAAAATAGAAACAGTTGTAATGTCATTATGTTATTAGAGTCTCTAATCCATGCTGATGTGTGATTTTACAACAGCCTGACTTCCTATACAGATGTTTGCAAATTTAATCTTATTCAGTTCTCTTACTGTGTCTTGATCTTGTTTTCTTTGACGTTCTTCTTTCTTCCTCTGGAGGTCCACTTGATGTGCAACATTGTCAGTATAGAGGCTTTTTCTCATACTCCCAAGACCAATAACTTCATCCAGTTTGATTCTCACTGGCAGAGGCAGTCCTGTATCTTAGCTCTCAGGCTCGATTGTTCCCAGTGGTTCACTTCCGGGTCTTCTCCAGTAATGTTTCTCCACGTCTGATACGCTCTGGACACATATACTCTTGCATTATCTTCTGGTCCCAATGGTTCAATCAGGACATTATCAGGATGTATGTGTGTAGGAAACATCTCCTTCAAAGCTTTCCACACTCTACCTCTGTTACAGGCAAAAAGATCTGCATCATTTACTGATGTCTTCATATAGTGATGTAGCTCAGCTCTTTGTAAGATTTCCTCCATGGCCACAACACCCAGGAGTGTCGCAAACAGTCTCTTGATATCACCCATTGCAAGAATTGTCCCCACAGAAATCTCCTCTAGTTTCGAAATCCAAGGATGTGCCCCATCTTGGATAGTGGGCAGCTTCTCCATGACATCAGAAAAATCTGTGTTCTTCCATGGTCTGTACTCCAGGTCTCCTCCACAGACCACAACAGGACACATTTTGCTGCTTGGTTTGATTTTTCTGGAGCGTACGTGAAAAGACATTGGTGTTTCTGTGTGTTCTCGAAATGGATCTTCTTCTTCTGATGTTTCACTGTCTGTACCAGAATCATTGTTCCTTGTCTCCTGTGATACTATGTTTTCTTTTCTTTCAGCCTTTCCCAGATTCTGTTTGATTGTGACGCTATAGCTGCTCTTGGCCTCTTCTTTATCACTCTTGTTTTTTGTTTTTCAGTCTTTGACCTAAGCCTCTCAAGGTCAGCTTCTCCTTGGGATCTTTAGAGCTTGGGTACTTCTCCACCATTGGTACTACTTTGAGGTGATATGTACCTTAATTGCAGTCAGCTGTGAATATGGATCTTTCAGAGTGTTCTGAGTCTGTGGTTCATGTAGCTGTGAGAAATGTCCATCACTGCTTCTCGTTACTTTCCCAGCTTTTTTGATGTCTTCATTTCCTCTGTTTAAATCTTCTAAAAGTTTCTTTGCCTCAAATTCAAACAACTCAAGTGTCCCAAGTTCAATCCGACGTTTCTCTTTCCTCTTTTGACCTCTACGGCTTTTGTTTTCTTCTGCGTTGTATGTAGAGATTAGAACTTTGAGAGTTTTGATGACTTCGATCGAAAACGTCCCTTCGATCGGCCACCGACAGTCGATGTCTGACCAGCAACAGTCGATGTCTGACCAGCGACAGTCCATGTCTGACCAGCGGCAGTCCATGTCTGACCAGCAACAGTCCATGTCTGACCAGCGACAGTCCATGTCTGACCAGCGGCAGTCCATGTCTGACCAGCAACAGTCCATGTCTGACCAGCGACAGTCCATGTCTGACCAGCGACAGTCCATGTCTGACCAGCGACAGTCCATGTCTGACCAGCGGCAGTCCATGTCTGACCAGCAACAGTCCATGTCTGACCAGCGACAGTCCATGTCTGACCAGCGACAGTCCATGTCTGACCAGCGACAGTCCATGTCTGACCAGCGGCAGTCCATGTCTGACCAGCAACAGTCCATGTCTGACCAGCGACAGTCCATGTCTGACCAGCGACAGTCCATGTCTGACCAGCGACAGTCCATGTCTGACCAGCGACAGTCCATGTCTGACCAGCGACAGTCCATGTCTGACCAGCGACAGTCCATGTCTGACCACCGACGATACCATTTAACCGATATCTTACTGATGTTGTCCACAAATGGATTATTGCTCTGTACTACTTCTATTGGTGTAATAGTTTTATTCAAACTAGATTTAGAACTGTCAGCGTTCATTTTTCAAAGTACTAAAAAAACGCGCAATGAATTAAAAAATACAAAAATCTGATTTTGATTGTTCCTAATCGAGTTAAATTAACTCCTAATTAAATTATTGTAATCAAAGATTAAGCAACACCATCCTATTTTTACTCAATTAGCTTCAACCCAATTGTAAGTCAATAAACTATTATTAATTTCTCTCCCTTTTATTTTACTGACTAATGCTATTTTACTCAATGATTATTGTAATCCTAATTTCTTAGTGGTAATCTATTACCTTATTCAGTTATTTAACTCTAAACCAGACCAAAATATGAGTGTAACATATTTTAGTAAATTCATAAATGTTTGATCATTTTTAGTCCAAAGATAAATCTCTCAGCTCAGTCAGTTGCCAAAATCCTGTGTCATTTATAACTGATTGACATATTGTGTGTCATCTCCTCTTAAACAAACAAGTGCATCATGGGAAACATCTGTGGATAGAATGAACTGCACCTGATGAAGAGCAGCTTTCATTGGATCTCTTGAAAGATGAAGGTCGTCTCTTTTCTCCACTGGACCCAGCTCTGGTCAAACACCTTTGCTCTTGTTCAGCACAAAAGAGAGAAAAACAAAACTTCAGTTTGAGTTCATCATTAACATCAAATCAAAAGTGAAACATTAGTGTGTATCTGACTCTATCAAACTCATCATGTCTAAAACATTCTGTACATTGATATCCATGTGACTTTTATGCTGAGATATTTAACATATAGAGCTATTATATTGTTGTCCTCACTCCTTATTATATTTATTATAAATTAAGCATAAAAAAATGCCTTATGACAAACACTTAAACATTTTTTCTTTCTTTTACATAACTCCACCCCTTGTGAGCCTTCACTCCACTGAAGGGGAACAAATGAAAAGAAAAATAGACTTAACACACACAAAAATGACTAAAGTCTCACTCTCACAAAACAAACAAAAACTTCATATAAACCCCAAAAATAAACAAAAAAGTCTACTTGTGTGCACAAAATACCAGCTTTGTGATCATAAGCAGACAAAATCAAAAATCCACAAACCCAAAAATCTGAGCTAACTTTGAGTCTTATTTATCATCAATCTAGTTCAGTTTCAGCCTAATCCTTTTTAACTCGTATCAAATGTTGTAACTTTAAAGTTGTCCAATCACAAGAATTTAAACAGTTTAAGTAAATTAAAATCTATCTATGATTCTCTAATTTCAGTACCAAATGTTTTCACCAGTGAAATGTTTATCACTGGTTCCACCCCTTTTTAATTATTTTTGTTAATGTAGCAAGCATTAACAAAGGTAGTTAAACTATCACAACTAATTAGTCCACTCAACTAGAGTTGAGGAGACGTGAAGGGACAGAATTGGGAACAAGGGAGGGGGGGGGAAGAGGGGAACCCACTTACACCTCAGAATAGACAAAAACCAAATGCGTACGCACACACACACACACGCACACGCGCACACTCACACACACGCACGCACACGCAGACACACGTTCACACACACACACACACACGCGCGCACCAAAAATAAACTAGGCTTCTCTTTAGCTGAATTTCCACTTAAAAGTCTCATAAAATCCATCAGCTCATTTCCAAATTTGAACCCAATCAAAACCATTATTAATTCGTCCTCGGACTTACAGCTTACTTCCACAAATGGCCATACCAGGATAGGCCCGCCTGACCTTTTAACTTATGGCAAATGATGTTCAATATACTCAAGGGCAGTCCAACGACTCCCTTTAAAACACTCCATGTGTCTCTTAAAACTCTTTCTCTTTATCTCTGTGTCTCTCTGTGTCTCTTTATCTCTGTACCTCACATTCTTAGGTCTTTCTACACTTCTATGTTCACTGTCCATATCCTTTCTACACTTTCTTACCACTGTCCTACGTCTTTCTACACTTCCTTCGTCTTACTTCACTTACTTTTCGTCCTTCTGCACTTTAAGATACAACACAACTACTGACACAAACACTTTTCTTAAAGAGACATATTCCTTTACGTCTCTTGTCTCTATTTTTCTCAGCTGAACTCTTAAAAGACAAACTTCACTGTAGCAGTCACTGCAAATTAACACTATCCCACTGAATTTTAAATTTATTTTTACATTTTAGTCCTTTCCAACACTAATCCATGACTCCGGAGCAAAACAACAGAACAGTACAATTAAGAAAAATTGTTGTGAAAATCTCACCCTTTCAGTCAGCTGGTCTTTTTCTCGATTGTGCTGCAACGTGTCTCGCATCCGCCGCAGTTCGTGGCGCCAAATTCTGTAGTGTCTCCTGATCTTTGAAGACAGGGTTTCCCGCACACATGGATAGTGATGGAGAAGGAATGAACTCTGAGTTATGATTAAAAGGAGTTTAATGACATAATCAGAATACGTTCAGTTCAATTCAGGCAAAGAGCTCTTCTGCCTGGGTGTCCTCTCTGATTCAGGCTCAACGCCAGAAGACCCAGAATAGAAAACTAAACTGGGTTAAATACTAACATTTACCTGTACCATATATGTCCATCTGACCTATGATCCTAGACTCTTAACATAAAAAGCAAGCCTGCTTCTTTGTGTCCTGGTCAGCATTCCTGTAGGATGTGAATAGAACAGAATACAGCTCATTTACAACACGGTCCTTGGCCCTACCCTATTTAACATCTACATGCTCCTCCTCGGCCACATCATCGGCAAGCATGGTATCTCCTTCCATTGCTATGCCGATGATACTCAGCTCTACCTGCGCACTAACTCTGTCTCCACATCAGCCCCACACTCAGCTCTGGCAGCCTGCCTGGAGGAGACAAAGGTATGGATGGCAGAAAACTTCTTACAACTAAACCATTCCAAAACTGAGGCTATTCTTATCGGAACCCCCCACCAACTCAAATCCCCCCAATCTCTGGTATTGCATTCTCCGGTCTCACCCTGCCCCTCTCCCCCACTGTCCGCAACCTGGGAGTCATTTTTGACCCCATCTTGTCATTTGAACACCATATCCAAAATCTCTGTAGAATCTCCTTTTTTCATCTCAAAAACATCTCCAAACTCCGCTCCACTCTCTCCCCCTCTGACGCTGAAACTTTAGTTCATGTCTTTGTCTCTTCCAGGCTGGATTACTGCAACGCCCTCCTCGTCGGGATCCCGGCAAAAAGCCTTCAAAAGCTTCAGCATATCCAAAATACCGCTGCCAGGATCCTGACGAGGACGCCAAAGCACCAGCACATCATCCCAGTCCTCCGCGATCTTCACTGGCTTCCAATCATCCAACGCATCCAATACAAAATCTGCCTCCTCACCTACCAATGCATCCACGGACATGCCCCGGACTATCTCACAGAACTTCCCACTCCTCCGCCCATAACCAGAGCACTCCGGTCCACAGACACCAACCTCCTCTCCATCCCCAGAACTAAACTCCGGACAATGGGTGACAGGGCTTTCCAGGCGGCTGCTCCCAAACTGTGGAACGCCCTACCACCACACCTGAGGGCCCCACAGTCATTGGAGAACTTCAAAAGAGGACTTAAAACTTTTCTGTTTCCTTCTTAACATTGTTTTAACACTGTTTTAACTTTAATGATGTATGCTTTTATTGTTGTTGTGCTGTGGCACTTTGAGATTTGTATGTAAAGTGCATTACAAATTAAAGATATTATTATTATTATTATTATTAGTTTAAAAGACACACCGCAGTAAAAACACCCAGGATCTATGAGATACAAGCAGAGGTGCAACCCAGCAACAACCATGCACCACAAGACAGCGGCAATAGCACACAAGCGGAAAAAAAGATTAAAGTTGGGGATAAAAGTAATACAAATCAAGAGCCACAAGGCAGAGGGCCAGACCCAGAGACTGTTGAGCTAATTGAAGGACTCAGAGCAGAGGTACTGGAAATACAGAGACTATACACTGAATCTGCAGCGACCACACCCAAGCGCACACCTGTTTGAGCTAAAGGATGTCAAGTGTGCAGAGAAGCTGGGGCTGGTGATACATGCCAACATTGTTTCCGGTGCGGACAAGAAGGCCATCTTTCCCGTGGTTGCAGACAAGGTAGACCACTGCAGAGAAACGGAAGGGGGGCTGCTGAGGAGGGATCAACAGTAGCCCAGCCACCTATCAGGTCCCAAATCAACTCCATGCGGTCCTGCCCTGAAAGTTCACCAAAGTCCGACAGTTACATACCCTCACAACGACAAACACAGCTCATCAACCTCATCGGACGAAGATGTGTAGTCCAGTGCCATCTCAACAATGTGCCAGTGGAAGCTTTATGGGACACAGGGGCTCAAGCTAGTTTAATAAATGAGGAATGGAGAAAGAAATACCTCCCTCATAGCACCCTTAGACCTCTATCTGAACTCTTATCAGAACCACTTGTAGCAGTAGCTGCTAATGGGAGTGAAATACCATACATAGGCTGGGTTGAAGCAGAATTTATATTGGACTGTGATTCTCACCCCACCAAGACCCTATATGTTCCCATATTGGTTGCTTGTGATTCCACTGTTGCAGAACAGCCTATTATCGGCTTCAATGTAATAGAAGAAGTAGTTGGCAAGTGGGGAAAAGGACATTTAAAGGCAAAAGGTATACATAAAATCAGTCAAACATTCTCTGTTTCAGTCAAGACAGCCAGGTCAATGGTTAAATTGCTGCAGCCAACCAGTGACAATAACAGTGTCGGGACAGTTCACACAGGCAAGAAAGAAATATGCCTGCCTGCAGCTCAAATAAGCACCACGTATGTCCGAGCACATGTAGCAGCCCAGTATGCAGGCCAGAGTCTTCTCTTCATTCCAGGTGAACTGCCCCAGTTATCAGAAGGCCTGGACATACAAGAAGGACTGGTTAGTGTCACAGAAGGAAGGTCAGTATACATTCCCATCGCCATTGCTAATGCCAATAAACAAGATCTTACCGTGCCAGCTCGCACCATTTCGGGTCACTTAAAAGAAATAAAAGCAGTTATCAAATTAATAATCAAAAGATGGAAGCAGAAGATGGAGGGGCCCGAGAGCGACACTGGTACACGCGCTCACATTAATGAGATCACCAATAAGGCCCAATCCCACCCCAAACCAGATCAGTGGGATCCCCAAGTTAAGCTTGTTGTCTTTGTCCAATCCAGCAGAATGAAGTAAGGCAGCTACTGAGAAAGGAATATCATGATTTTGCATACAATGACCAAGATGTTCGATGTACTCCTTCTTTAAGCATGCACATCACCCTCCACGACACTACCACTGTGAAAAAGACTTATGTTTCAGTTCCAAAGCCCCTGCATCAAGAAGTAAAGGACTATCTCCAAGATCTGCTAAACCGAGGGTGGATTTCAGAGTCAAGGTCATCATATTCATCCCCCATCGTCTGTGTCAGGAAAAAGACAGGTGAACTGAGACTGTGTTGTGACTACAGAGAACTGAACAGGAAATCTGTACCCGACAGGCATCCCATTCCAAGGATTCAGGACATGATAGACTCTTTGCATGGCAGCTCCTGGTTCTCAGTGCTTGACCAGGCCAAAGCCTATCATCAGGGCTTTTTAGATTCAGAGAGCCGGCCCCTGACAGCCTTTATAACTCCATGGGGCCTGTATCAGTGGAACCGTATATCGTTTGGCCTGAGTTCAGAACCAGCAGAGTTTCAATGGAGCATCGAGGACTGTCTGAAAGGACTGCGTGATATTATCTGTCAGCCACATTTAGATGACAATGTTGTGCACTCTACATCATTCCAGACTCATGTGCAGCATTTTCGTGATGTGCTACAGTGGTGCCAAACACATGGTGTAAAGCTTACTCCTCATAAGTGTGATGTGTTTACGAGACAGGTCCGATTCCTGGGTCGTACGGTGTCAGAGCAGGGTTACACGATGGATCCAGCTGAAATTGCCCCAGTCATGGCACTCAAAGACAAACCACCAACTAGAGTAGGTGAGCTGAGCAGACTTTTGGGATTCCTGTCCTATTACCGTTTGTACATCCCAAACTTCTCCAAAATAGCTAAACCACTGTATCAGCTCCTCACCCTGTCTCCAGATCAAAGACCACTGCCTGTAACCAAGACAAAAAACAAAAAGGTTAGTGCAAAACATAAAGGCCGACCACCCCCTGGCACACTCATAACATGGACTGAAAACCACCAAGAGACTTTAAACAAGCTCACAGACTGTTTTAAGAGCCACCCATCTTAGGGTACCCAGATTTTGCACAGCCCTTTATACTCCACTGTGATGCATCCCAGGACGGTTTAGGAGCCGTCTTGTACCAACACCAAACAGGCAAACTGAGAGTAATAGCCTACGGTTCCCGCACACTTACCCCCCCAGAAAAGAATTGTCACATGCATTCTGGAAAGCTTGAATTTCTAGCTTTAAAGTGGGCAATATGTGAACGTTTCCGTGACTATCTCTTTTATGCCCCTCATTTTGCTGTTTACACGGACAACAACCCCTTAACATACATCCTCACAACAGCTAAGCTAAATGCCACTGGTCACCGCTGGGTAGGGGAATTGGCAGACATCAACTTCACAATAAAATACAGACCTGGCAAGAGAAACGCTGATGCAGATGGCCTGTCCAGAAAACCCCTTGTTATAGAGCAGTACATGTCACAATGCACAGCCGAAGTGAGACGTTGTGAGATGTTGTAAAGGCAGCAGCTGACAGTGTTTGTTTGCAGAAAAAGATCACAGGGCCTGAGAGCTGCACCTTCAGTGAAATCATCATTGGCATGGTCCAAGACACACCACCTCTTCCAGACAAGTCCTTCACACCCACAGATATAAGGACCAGTCAAGAAAAAGACTCCGTCATTGGCCCAGTTATACACTACAAGATCTGTGAGTACTTACCCCGAGGCCAAGCATTTAAAAATGAGACACCCGATGTGAAAATCCTCCTCAGGCAATGGAACAAACTGGTGTCAAGAAACTGTCAGCATTTAGAGACATGTAAGCATGGATATGAATACATCCTGGTGGTAATGGATCATTTTACACGTTTTGCACAAGTTTATGCCACAAAGAACAAATCAGCTAAAACAGTTGCAGAAAAATTGTTTAATGACTTTGCTTTAAAGTTTGGTTTTCCTGTCAGAATCCACCATGACATAGGCAGAGAATTTGAACATCAACTGTTTGCCCAGCTCCAACAAGTCTGTGGTCTACGCAGCTCTCACACCACACCGTACCACCCGCAGGGGAATGGGCAGGTGGAACGTTTCAACAGAACCCTGCTCTCCATGCTCAGGACTCTGACTGATGGTGAAAAAGCATACTGGAAAGAATCACTGGCAAAGGTTTTTGGCCGCAGCCCCAGACTACCAATAGACATTCTATTCAACCTTCCAAGCAAAGACGAACAAATCAGCTAAAAATGAAGAGTATGTGCAAAAATGGCAGGCACAAATGAGCGAAGCCTATCAGATTGCATCTAAAGCAGCACAGAAAGAAGCTTCAAGAGGCAAACACTATTATGACAAAAAGATTCATGGTGTGCAGCTGTTTCCAGGTAACAGGGTTCTCCTCCGCAATTTTATAGAAAAAGGGGGTCCCGGCAAACTCCGCTCACTGGAAAGATATGGTGTATGTGATAGTCGCCCAGAAACACCCTGATATGCCTGTTCATGAGATAAAACCAGAACAAGGAGGTAAAAGTCGCACAGTGAACAGAAACTTGCTCCTCCCATGTGACAGTTTACCTATAGAAAAACCTGACAACAAACAGCTGAGTAGTCGAAAGAAGAAGACGCAAACAAATATAAGACAAGAGACATTCCAAGACAATGCAGATTCAGACAGTGATGAAGAAGGAGCCCTGGTGTGGAGATCTCCCCGTCTGCAGAGCCGTGAGGACAGCAGAGCGCAGGAGCTGATTCCAGAGCCTGAGCTGGAGCAATGCCCACAGGTACCCAAGACTGAGGACCCTCATCACTCAGATGACCAGAACAGCTCAACTGAAGGTGATCCGGTGGCAGCGGAGCGCGAGGCACCCCAGGAGCAGCTCATCGATCATCCTGCTGAAGAAGCTGGCATAGATGGAGACTCTGATGGTGAGCCGAGGTTGACATCTCCATTTCACATATACCCACGAAGAGAGAAAGTTATTTTTTTGTGGTAAGGGAAACCGGAGCACCCGGAGGAAACCAACGCAGGCATGGGGAGAACATGTAAACTCCACTCAGAAAGATCCTGTTCTGACCAGGATTTGAACCCAGGATCTTCATAGCAGTTATTATGACTGTTTTAAAGCTGTGAAAATGTATTATTATACAACTCCATATTAATATAAACAATCGCAAAAATAAAATGAATTGAAAAGTAATCTGATTACTAAAGTAATCTGATTACTTTTCCGGATGAGTTGGACCAACACTGCTCACAACATTTGCTTGGTTACCATGGCAACAATCTGTGATGTGATTGGAATTCCGGAATGAAATGACTAGCTCGTTGCTAGGCAACCTCTATGTCTTGAACACATATAGGTCTGGCCCTGCAGAGAGAGTCCTTTGGTTGTCCGTCTTGGACAGAGACTTATCTGCTTCAAAGTGGGGCACAGACAGCAGTAGGCACATATCTCCGTTGATTTAACATCAGTAGTCATGGATAGTGATAGCAGTAATGACTCGTCCGATGACGGCCGCTGTCCTCTGGACCAAGCTCTGAAATATGTGAATGAGAGCTACAAGTGTTCTCAGATGGTCGTCCCCAAACACACCGCTGGATCGTCCGAGCTTCATCATCATTCCACTCTCAATGTTACCTTTAGTGAAAGCATCTGCAGCAAAGACACATGTGTACAACACAAGATTGATAGTTATATTGCGAGGATCAATGTGCTCGAGTACCAGATTAGAAAATTGAGAGAGGAATGTGCGAGGACCCACATCACCAGAGAGGAGCAGACGACTTCTCAGCAGCAGGAGAGAAAGCAAAGGGGAAAGAGTCAGGCCTGTGCTGCTAAGCGCTGTAACACCTTTCTTTCTCTTGAGAAGCAGATGGATTGGCTGCAGCAGTCCTTAAGAGAAAGGGATGTAATGATTGCAGAAAATCAAAGTAGAATGTTACAACTAGAGAAGGACAGGACCACTTTGATTGACCATTGCGCCATTCTTAATGAAGAGAGGGTCCACAAGGATCAGGTGCACATGAAGGAAAAGGCCAGAATATCAAATAATTGTACACTAAAGGTCAGAAGACTTCAGGAGGCAGATGGAGGGGCTGCAGCAGTCCTTGATAGATAAAGACAAAATTATTACGACAAATCAAAGTCTCATGTCAGACTTTGAGATTGACAGGAAAGCTTTGCAGGATCGTATCACCTCTCTCACAGAAGAGATGGTCCTCAAGGATCAGTCCTCTGTGGGGGAAATTACCGAAATAACCAAAGACTACACCTTAAAGGTCAGTTCTCTTCAGGAGCAGATGGAGGGGCTGCAGCAGTCCTTGATAGATAAAGACAAAATTATTACGGCAAATCAAAGTCTGATGTCAGACTTTGAGATTGACAGGAAAGCTTTGCAGGATCGTATCACCTCTCTCACAGCAGAGATGGTCCTCAAGGATCAGTCCTCTGTGGGGGAAATTACCGAAATAACCAAAGACTACACCTTAAAGGTCAGTTCTCTTCAGCAGCAGATGGATGGGCTGCAGCAGTCCTTGATAGATAAAGACAAAATTATTACGACAAATCAAAGTCTGATGTCAGACTTTGAGATTGACAGGAAAGCTTTGCAGGATCGTATCACCTCTCTCACAGAAGAGATGGTCCTCATGGCTCAGTCCTCTGTGGGGGAAATTACCGAAATAACCAAAGACTACACCTTAAAGGTCAGTTCTCTTCAGGAGCAGATGGAGGGGCTGCAGCAGTCCTTGATAGATAAAGACAAAATTATTACGACAAATCAAAGTCTGATGTCAGACTTTGAGATTGACAGGAAAGCTTTGCAGGATCGTATCACCTCTCTCACAGAAGAGATGGTCCTCAACGATCAGTCCTCTGTGGGGGAAATTACCGAAATAACCAAAGACTACACCTTAAAGGTCAGTTCTCTTCAGGAGCAGATGGAGGGGCTGCAGCAGTCCTTGATCGATAAAGACAAAATTATTACGACAAATCAAAGTCTGATGTCAGACTTTGAAGATTGACAGGAAAGCTTTGCAGGATCGTATCACCTCTCTCACAGCAGAGATGGTCCTCAAGGATCAGTCCTCTGTGGGGGAAATTACCGAAATAACCAAAGACTACACCTTAAAGGTCAGTTCTCTTCAGGAGCAGATGGAGGGGCTGCAGCAGTCCTTGATCGATAAAGACAAAATTATTACGACAAATCAAAGTCTGATGTCAGACTTTGAGATTGACAGGAAAGCTTTGCAGGATCGTATCACCTCTCTCACAGAAGAGATGGTCCTCAAGGATCAGACCTCTGTGGGGGAAATTACCGAAATAACCAAAGACTACACCTTAAAGGTCAGTTCTCTTCAGGAGCAGATGGAAGGGCTGCAGCAGTCCTTGATAGATAAAGACAAAATTATTACGACAAATCAAAGTCTGATGTCAGACTTTGAGATTGACAGGAAAGCTTTGCAGGATCGTATCACCTCTCTCACAGAAGAGATGGTCCTCAACGATCAGTCCTCTGTGGGGGAAATTACCGAAATAACCAAAGACTACACCTTAAAGGTCAGTTCTCTTCAGCAGCAGATGGAGGGGCTGCAGCAGTCCTTGATAGATAAAGACAAAATTATTACGACAAATCAAAGTCTGATGTCAGACTTTGAGATCGACAGGAAAGCTTTGCAGGATCGTATCACCTCTCTCACAGAAGAGATGGTCCTCAACGATCAGTCCTCTGTGGGGGAAATTACCGAAATAACCAAAGACTACACCTTAAAGGTCAGTTCTCTTCAGGAGCAGATGGAGGGGCTGCAGCAGTCCTTGATAGATAAAGACAAAATTATTACGGCAAATCAAAGTCTGATGTCAGACTTTGAGATCAACAAGAAAGCTTTGCAGGATCGTATCACCTCTCTCACGGAAGAGATGGTCCTTAAGGATCAGTCCTCTGTGGGGGAAATTACCGAAATAACCAAAGACTACACCTTAAAGGTCAGTTCTCTTCAGGAGCAGATGGAGGGGCTGCAGCAGTCTTTGATAGATAAAGACAAAATTATTACGACAAATCAAAGTCTGATGTCAGACTTTGAGATCGACAGGAAAGCTTTGCAGGATCGTATCACCTCTCTCACAGAAGAGATGGTCCTCAAGGATCAGTCCTCTGTGGGGGAAATTACCAAAATAACCAAAGACTACACCTTAAAGGTCAGTTCTCTTCAGGAGCAGATGGAGGGGCTGCAGCAGTCCTTGATAGATAAAGACAAAATTATTACGACAAATCAAAGTCTGATGTCAGACTTTGAGATTGACAGGAAAGCTTTGCAGGATCGTATCACCTCTCTCACAGAAGAGATGGTCCTCAACGATCAGTCCTCTGTGGGGGAAATTATCGAAATAACCAAAGACTACACCTTAAAGGTCAGTTCTCTTCAGGAGCAGATGGAGGGGCTGCAGCAGTCCTTGATAGATAAAGACAAAATTATTACGACAAATCAAAGTCTGATGTCAGACTTTGAGATCGACAGGAAAGCTTTGCAGGATCGTATCACCTCTCTCACAGAAGAGATGGTCCTCATGGATCAGTCCTCTGTGGGGGAAATTACCGAAATAACCAAAGACTACACCTTAAAGGTCAGTTCTCTTCAGGAGCAGATGGAGGGGCTGCAGCAGTCCTTGATCGATAAAGACAAAATTATTACGACAAATCAAAGTCTGATGTCAGACTTTGAGATCAACAAGAAAGCTTTGCAGGATCGTATCACCTCTCTCACAGAAGAGATGGTCCTTAAGGATCAGTCCTCTGTGGGGGAAATTACCGAAATAACCAAAGACTACACCTTAAAGGTCAGTTCTCTTCAGGAGCAGATGGAGGGGCTGCAGCAGTCCTTGATAGATAAAGACAAAATTATTACGACAAATCAAAGTCTGATGTCAGACTTTGAGATCGACAGGAAAGCTTTGCAGGATCGTATCACCTCTCTCACAGAAGAGATGGTCCTCAAGGATCAGTCCTCTGTGGGGGAAATTACCAAAATAACCAAAGACTACACCTTAAAGGTCAGTTCTCTTCAGGAGCAGATGGAGGGGCTGCAGCAGTCCTTGATAGATAAAGACAAAATTATTACGACAAATCAAAGTCTGATGTCAGACTTTGAGATTGACAGGAAAGCTTTGCAGGATCGTATCACCTCTCTCACAGAAGAGATGGTCCTCAACGATCAGTCCTCTGTGGGGGAAATTATCGAAATAACCAAAGACTACACCTTAAAGGTCAGTTCTCTTCAGGAGCAGATGGAGGGGCTGCAGCAGTCCTTGATAGATAAAGACAAAATTATTACGACAAATCAAAGTCTTATGTCAGACTTTGAGATTGACAGGAAAGCTTTGCAGGATCGTATCACCTCTCTCACAGCAGAGATGGTCCTCAAGGATCAGTCCTCTGTGGGGGAAATTACCGAAATAACCAAAGACTACACCTTAAAGGTCAGTTCTCTTCAGGAGCAGATGGAGGGGCTGCAGCAGTCCTTGATAGATAAAGACAAAATTATTACGACAAATCAAAGTCTGATGTCAGACTTTGAGATTGACAGGAAAGCTTTGCAGGATCGTATCACCTCTCTCACAGAAGAGATGGTCCTCAAGGATCAGTCCTCTGTGGGGGAAATTACCGAAATAACCAAAGACTACACCTTAAAGGTCAGTTCTCTTCAGGAGCAGATGGAGGGGCTGCAGCAGTCCTTGATAGATAAAGACAAAATTATTACGACAAATCAAAGTCTGATGTCAGACTTTGAGATTGACAGGAAAGCTTTGCAGGATCGTATCACCTCTCTCACAGAAGAGATGGTCCTCAAGGATCAGTCCTCTGTGGGGGAAATTACCGAAATAACCAAAGACTACACCTTAAAGGTCAGTTCTCTTCAGGAGCAGATGGAGGGGCTGCAGCAGTCCTTGATAGATAAAGACAAAATTATTACGACAAATCAAAGTCTGATGTCAGACTTTGAGATCGACAGGAAAGCTTTGCAGGATCGTATCACCTCTCTCACAGAAGAGATGGTCCTCAAGGATCAGTCCTCTGTGGGGGAAATTACCGAAATAACCAAAGACTACACCTTAAAGGTCAGTTCTCTTCAGGAGCAGATGGAGGGGCTGCAGCAGTCCTTGATAGATAAAGACAAAATTATTACGACAAATCAAAGTCTGATGTCAGACTTTGAGATCGACAGGAAAGCTTTGCAGGATCGTATCACCTCTCTCACAGCAGAGATGGTCCTCAAGGATCAGTCCTCTGTGGGGGAAATTACCGAAATAACCAAAGACTACACCTTAAAGGTCAGTTCTCTTCAGGAGCAGATGGAGGGGCTGCAGCAGTCCTTGATAGATAAAGACAAAATTATTACGACAAATCAAAGTCTGATGTCAGACTTTGAGATCGACAGGAAAGCTTTGCAGGATCGTATCACCTCTCTCACAGAAGAGATGGTCCTCAAGGATCAGTCCTCTGTGTGGGAAATTACCGAAATAACCAAAGACTACACCTTAAAGGTCAGTTCTCTTCAGGAGCAGATGGAGGGGCTGCAGCAGTCCTTGATCGATAAAGACAAAATTATTACGACAAATCAAAGTCTGATGTCAGACTTTGAGATTGACAGGAAAGCTTTGCAGGATCGTATCACCTCTCTCACAGAAGAGATGGTCCTCAACGATCAGTCCTCTGTGGGGGAAATTACCGAAATAACCAAAGACTACACCTTAAAGGTCAGTTCTCTTCAGGAGCAGATGGAGGGGCTGCAGCAGTCCTTGATAGATAAAGACAAAATTATTACGACAAATCAAAGTCTGATGTCAGACTTTGAGATCAACAAGAAAGCTTTGCAGGATCGTATCACCTCTCTCACAGAAGAGATGGTCCTCAAGGATCAGTCCTCTGTGGGGGAAATTACCGAAATAACCAAAGACTACACCTTAAAGGTCAGTTCTCTTCAGGAGCAGATGGAGGGGCTGCAGCAGTCCTTGATAGATAAAGACAAAATTATTACGACAAATCAAAGTCTGATGTCAGACTTTGAGATCGACAGGAAAGCTTTGCAGGATCGTATCACCTCTCTCACAGAAGAGATGGTCCTCATGGATCAGTCCTCTGTGGGGGAAATTACCGAAATAACCAAAGACTACACCTTAAAGGTCAGTTCTCTTCAGGAGCAGATGGAGGGGCTGCAGCAGTCCTTGATCGATAAAGACAAAATTATTACGACAAATCAAAGTCTGATGTCAGACTTTGAGATTGACAGGAAAGCTTTGCAGGATCGTATCACCTCTCTCACAGAAGAGATGGTCCTCAAGGATCAGACCTCTGTGGGGGAAATTACCGAAATAACCAAAGACTACACCTTAAAGGTCAGTTCTCTTCAGCAGCAGATGGAGGGGCTGCAGCAGTCCTTGATAGATAAAGACAAAATTATTACGACAAATCAAAGTCTGATGTCAGACTTTGAGATTGACAGGAAAGCTTTGCAGGATCGTATCACCTCTCTCACAGAAGAGATGGTCCTCAACGATCAGTCCTCTGTGGGGGAAATTACCGAAATAACCAAAGACTACACCTTAAAGGTCAGTTCTCTTCAGGAGCAGATGGAGGGGCTGCAGCAGTCCTTGATAGATAAAGACAAAATTATTACGACAAATCAAAGTCTGATGTCAGACTTTGAGATCGACAGAAAAGCTTTGCAGGATCGTATCACCTCTCTCACAGCAGAGATGGTCCTCAAGGATCAGTCCTCTGTGGGGGAAATTACCGAAATAACCAAAGACTACACCTTAAAGGTCAGTTCTCTTCAGGAGCAGATGGAGGGGCTGCAGCAGTCCTTGATAGATAAAGACAAAATTATTACGACAAATCAAAGTCTGATGTCAGACTTTGAGATTGACAGGAAAGCTTTGCAGGATCGTATCACCTCTCTCACAGAAGAGATGGTCCTCAACGATCAGTCCTCTGTGGGGGAAATTACCGAAATAACCAAAGACTACACCTTAAAGGTCAGTTCTCTTCAGGAGCAGATGGAGGGGCTGCAGCAGTCCTTGATAGATAAAGACAAAATTATTACGACAAATCAAAGTCTGATGTCAGACTTTGAGATCGACAAAAAGCTTTGCAGGATCGTATCACCTCTCTCACAGAAGAGATGGTCCTCAAGGATCAGTCCTCTGTGGGGGAAATTACCGAAATAACCAAAGACTACACCTTAAAGGTCAGTTCTCTTCAGGAGCAGATGGAGGGGCTGCAGCAGTCCTTGATAGATAAAGACAAAATTATTACGACAAATCAAAGTCTGATGTCAGACTTTGAGATTGACAGGAAAGCTTTGCAGGATCGTATCACCTCTCTCACAGAAGAGATGGTCCTCAAGGATCAGTCCTCTGTGGGGGAAATTACCGAAATAACCAAAGACTACACCTTAAAGGTCAGTTCTCTTCAGGAGCAGATGGAGGGGCTGCAGCAGTCCTTGATAGATAAAGACAAAATTATTACGACAAATCAAAGTCTGATGTCAGACTTTGAGATTGACAGGAAAGCTTTGCAGGATCGTATCACCTCTCTCACAGAAGAGATGGTCCTCAACGATCAGTCCTCTGTGGGGGAAATTACCGAAATAACCAAAGACTACACCTTAAAGGTCAGTTCTCTTCAGGAGCAGATGGAGGGGCTGCAGCAGTCCTTGATAGATAAAGACAACATTATTACGACAAATCAAAGTCTGATGTCAGACTTTGAGATTGACAGGAAAGCTTTGCAGGATCGTATCACCTCTCTCACAGAAGAGATGGTCCTCAAGGATCAGACCTCTGTGGGGGAAATTACCGAAATAACCAAAGACTACACCTTAAAGGTCAGTTCTCTTCAGCAGCAGATGGAGGGGCTGCAGCAGTCCTTGATAGATAAAGACAAAATTATTACGACAAATCAAAGTCTGATGTCAGACTTTGAGATTGACAGGAAAGCTTTGCAGGATCGTATCACCTCTCTCACAGAAGAGATGGTCCTCAACGATCAGTCCTCTGTGGGGGAAATTACCGAAATAACCAAAGACTACACCTTAAAGGTCAGTTATCTTCAGGAGCAGATGGAGGGGCTGCAGCAGTCCTTGATAGATAAAGACAAAATTATTACGACAAATCAAAGTCTGATGTCAGACTTTGAGATCGACAGAAAAGCTTTGCAGGATCGTATCACCTCTCTTACAGCAGAGATGGTCCTCAAGGATCAGTCCTCTGTGGGGGAAATTACCGAAATAACCAAAGACTACACCTTAAAGGTCAGTTCTCTTCAGGAGCAGATGGAGGGGCTGCAGCAGTCCTTGATAGATAAAGACAAAATTATTACGACAAATCAAAGTCTGATGTCAGACTTTGAGATCGACAGAAAAGCTTTGCAGGATCGTATCACCTCTCTCACAGCAGAGATGGTCCTCAAGGATCAGTCCTCTGTGGGGGAAATTACCGAAATAACCAAAGACTACACCTTAAAGGTCAGTTCTCTTCAGGAGCAGATGGAGGGGCTGCAGCAGTCCTTGATAGATAAAGACAAAATTATTACGACAAATCAAAGTCTGATGTCAGACTTTGAGATCGACAGGAAAGCTTTGCAGGATCGTATCACCTCTCTCACAGCAGAGATGGTCCTCAAGGATCAGTCCTCTGTGGGGGAAATTACCGAAATAACCAAAGACTACACCTTAAAGGTCAGTTCTCTTCAGGAGCAGATGGAGGGGCTGCAGCAGTCCTTGATAGATAAAGACAAAATTATTACGACAAATCAAAGTCTGATGTCAGACTTTGAGATCGACAGGAAAGCTTTGCAGGATCGTATCACCTCTCTCACAGCAGAGATGGTCCTCAAGGATCAGTCCTCTGTGGGGGAAATTACCGAAATAACCAAAGACTACACCTTAAAGGTCAGTTCTCTTCAGGAGCAGATGGAGGGGCTGCAGCAGTCCTTGATCGATAAAGACAAAATTATTACGACAAATCAAAGTCTGATGTCAGACTTTGAGATTGACAGGAAAGCTTTGCAGGATCGTATCACCTCTCTCACAGAAGAGATGGTCCTCAAGGATCAGACCTCTGTGGGGGAAATTACCGAAATAACCAAAGACTACACCTTAAAGGTCAGTTCTCTTCAGCAGCAGATGGAGGGGCTGCAGCAGTCCTTGATAGATAAAGACAAAATTATTACGACAAATCAAAGTCTGATGTCAGACTTTGAGATTGACAGGAAAGCTTTGCGGGACCGTATCACCTCTCTCACAGCAGAGATGGTTTTCAAGGATCAGTCATACCAGGAGGAAAAGACCAAGAAGGATCTGGAAAATGAGTCTTTCTTTGATGCCCTGGACTTTGTTTCTGAGGAGAAAGATGTGGAAACATCTGCTTACAGAACAATAGGCAAATATCTCATCAGGGGACTCATCGGGTTGAGTGCAGTGACTGTGTCTGCCACCGGGGGCTTCCTTCTCGGCCGTTCGGTCTGGAGTGAAGATGCGTGCTGTTACTGTGGCTTTGATGAGACTCCTGCTTACTTCTAAACCCTAAAACACTGTAATACCATCGCAGCACAGAACAGTGGGGGAAGAAGGTATTCACCAGTTACTGACAATCAGCAATTGTCACATACCTTTGTGGTCCACTGTCTCTTGGTGTGCAGATATTAGGATCTTCAAGGCAGGGGTGATATATTTATTGCCACATACTGCCAGCAGAAGACCGTGGTTCAAAGTGTTGACGTTGGACCACAGTTGACATGTTTGTCTCATGGAAAAAGAATTCCATGATCCAAACCAGGGACGTGCAGTCAGGGGAGGCAGGGGAGGCAGAGCCTCACCTGCCATTATTGGAAACTAATAATTATTTTAGTTTAAATATATAATTTATATCCACTGTCCTATGCTTTTAATGTATATTCGGCACGGTTCCCATCAGTTTTGATCATTTCTGAAGTCAAAATCGCCGAAATCCCGTTATTCCTATTCAAAGAGACGAGGTGAGGCAGCGCTCCTGCGTGCCTCACCCCAGACCGCTCCCTCACAGTGTGTGTGTGTGTGTCTGAGTGCACTCAGCTCGTGCAGTTGATATATCACCGTTTGTTTCAAATATCCTGCTTTAAAAACATTTTTTAAACTCCTCTTAGTGTTTAGTAGTGTATTGCACGTATGTGTGTACAATTTATATTTAGTTTAAGTCTTTTGATCGTAGATGAACACACAAGGAAAAAGCTTGGCGTGAGGCAGGCGGTATCTGTGCCTCACCGCTAGGGGTGATAGTGAGCATAAAGTTCATACCAGAGTTGCTAACAAACAATCAGCCCAAAATGCTATTTCTTTTGCTGGAAAATGGATGATTTGAATGAAGATTTTTTTTCTCAATTGGACTTTCAAACAAAGAAAGAATTAATATAGACTGGGAGACCACCACTGGACTTACGAGGTTAGTCCGGCTGCGGGGGAGGAGTTTGTTAATCTGTGTTTTATGTTGAACATTGACAGATACCGGCAAAGTAGTGCTTTTCCGAAAAACACTGATTCAAACACTGCTCAAGAGTTCTGCAACTTGTTTAAATTATTGTTTATGTTCCTCGCGTCTCTCTCTCCTCGCGTCTCTCTCTCCTCGCGTCTCCGTCTCTCTCTGCTCCTCGCGTCTCCGTCTCTCTGCTCCTCTCTGTCTCTCTCTGCTCCTCGCGTCTCCGTCTCTCTGCTCCTCTCTGTCTCTCTCTGCTCCTCTCTCCTCGCGTCTCTCTCTCCTCGCGTCTCCGTCTCTCTTGCTCCTCGCGTCTCCGTCTCTCTGCTCCTCTCTGTCTCTCTCTGCTCCTCTCTCCTCGCGTCTCTCTCTCCTCGCGTCTCTCGCACCTGCGCTTCTTAAAGATGTTGTTTGATGCGGAGCAGAGTCAGCAGCTAGATTTGTTGTGAGATTATTAAAAGAAGCTGGTTCTCTTATCTTTACAGTATATAAAGTTTGTGGATGTCATTGCATTGGTGATTAAATGCTATTTTATTTGAATAATGATTGTAAATCTGACTTTTAAAGTCAGTGCCTCCCCAATCACAAACCTCACCGCACGTCCCTGATCCAAACCATCACCAAAGCCTCTTCTCTTTATCCCAGACGTGGCATCACGCAAAGAGGGCTTATCTCTCTCATCTCAACCGGATCATTTGTGTTCACATTTATCTGTCTTGATGCCCTAAATGTTGACACAAAACTCAGCACTAAAATTCATTGAATGTAATTGTATTTCTCAAAACACAATATCCATAAACTTGACCATAATCAGTTAAGTTGATGGAAGTGTATACATGAATTGTAAATAAAGATCATTGAATTGCATAAATATTCTCTCTCTTTTTTACAGGACTGTTGTGTTGTGTTGTTTTGGTCCACTATAGTCTAGAACTGAAACGATTAATCTAATTACTCGAAAAATTCGAATATTACAAATATTTGTTTAATTTCCGCTGCCTCCATTATTCATAAACCTGGCTAGTTCAAAAACTCTCTGGAACTACATGAAAACTGAACAAGGAATTCTGAACATCAGTGGTGAGGAACTCATTTATATACCAAACCTAAATCTATAATAGGATCCTCTTCAAATGTGTCCTAAAATGTTCGTTTCATGTTAATGGTTACTTCCGGGTTTATCACGATCGCTTTTTGTTACATTAAAACTGTATTTTTGTCATGAAAAAGTTAACAAATAATTCTGAAAACCTCTGTGCATTTGTGTTAAGGATGTATATGTACAGTGCCTTGCGAAAGTATTCGGCCCCCTTGAACCTTTCAACATTTCGCCATATTTCAGTCTTCAAACATAAAGATATACAAAATTTAATTTTTTGTCATGAATCAACAACAAGTGGGACACAATCGTGAAGTGGAATGACATTTGTTGGATAATTTAAACTTTTTTAACAAATAAAAAACTGAAAAGTGGGGCGTGCAATATTATTCGGCCCCTTTACTTTCAGTGCAGCAAACTCGGTCCAGAAGTTCAGTGAGGATCTTTGAATGATCCAATGTTGTCCTAAATGACTGATGATGATAAATAGAATGCACCTGTGTGTAATCAAGTCTCCGTATAAATGCACCTGCTCTTTGATAGTCTCAGGGTTCTGTTTAAAGCACAGAGAGAACCATGAAGACAAAGGAACACACCAGGCAGGTCCGAGATACTGTTGTGGAGAAGTTTAAAGCCGGATTTGGCTACAAAAAGATTTCCCAAGCTTTAAACATCTCAAGGAGCACTGTGCAAGCAATTATATTGAAACGGAAGGAGTATCAGACCACTGCAAATCTACCAAGACCCGGCCGTCCCTCCAAACTTTCATCTCAAACAAGGAGAAGACTGATCAGAGATGCAGCCAAGAGGCCCATGATCACTCTGGATGAACTGCAGATCAGTTCTGCAGATCCTCACTGAACTTCTGGAGTGAGTTTGCTGCACTGAAAGTAAAAGGGCCCAATAATATTGCACGCCCCACTTTTCAGTTTTTTATTTGTTAAAAAAGTTTAAATCATCCAATAAATTTCGTTCCACTTCACCATTGTGTCCCACTTGTTGTTGATTCATGACAAAAAATTCAAATATTATATCTTTATCTTTGAAAAACCTTTTAAAACTTTTTAGCAAACAATGCGTTGATCTATTATAATATCAATGGAGGACGACGGAGAAGGCTCTGGCAAAGACAGTAGAGTTAAAAGATGACTTTCAACCATGTGACCTAAACTGATGACGTAATCAGCGTCCGCCATGCTGGTGGTATACTGATTTGACATTCTAGGCAGGTAACCGCTAAGCTACGGAAACCTGCCGTTATTTTAACCAGGCTTAGACTGGGACATTGTGGTTTAGGGTGGGATCTAGTTAAAATGGGGAAACACCCTGATGGTCTCTGCCAACACTGCAAGCAAGATTGTTACGGCTCCAGGTCTGGGCCGTTTTGCGCAAGCATCCCCTCCCTCTCCCGGTGTGTCTCTCCTGTCTGTGTGTCTGGCTCATTCCCGCCATACTGAGGGCCCGCCTCCCGGACGCTGCCATTCGCCCGGAATCCTCCTGTATGGCTAATAGGAGCTCCGGCCAAATCAATCTGCGCCACCAGCTGACCCGCCCGCGGCCAAAAAAACGGCGGTGCGACGCCCGGATGGGGCGGCTTGTGCAAGTGCGCCACCCTTGAGAAACAGACATGTTTTGGACCGTACTGACACCTTTGTGAGAGACCTAATGTAAAACCGTATGAGACCTTATGAGACCTTAAGAGACACTTAAAGAACTTTGATTTGTTATCAGTAGAAAGAACCCCTTTTGTTTCGTTTTTTTGACTCTAAGTTTTGTCCAGGACCTTTACCTTTTCTGCCTAAAAAAAGGTAATTTACTTTGCCAATTATATCTGGTTGTTTATGTTACATTTCCTTTCCCCTTCTCAGAGCCAAGTTTAGGGCTGTAACAAAGATCAAACAGTAAAACATGTACTAATGGAATGCCCACTGTATAGAGAACAACGCATAGAGCTGTTTCGAACTGTAGCGCCACAATCGGAGTAAAGTCAGCCTTCGAGATTTGCTAAGCCCTTCAACGGGACAAGACTTCGCTGTAAGAGCGCTGTAGGATTTTCTTGCAGCCACCGGGCTGCTCTGGATATAATTTATCTGCGATGACGGATTGCACCGAGAGAGGCAGCAATGTGCCGAGAGGCATCTAGTCTGCCGTAAATAACCGAAGAAGAAGAAGAAGAAGAAGAACAGCTAAGCTAGCTAGTTCAAAAACTCTCTGGAACTACATGAAAACTGAACAAAGAATTCTGAACATCAGCGGTGAGTTACTCATTTATACCAAACCTAAATCCATAATCAGATCCTCTTCAAATGTGTCCTAAAATGTTCGTTTCATGTTAATGGTTTGTTTCGGGTTTTTCACGATCGCTTATTATCACATTAAAACAGTATTTTTGTCATGAAAACGTGAACAAATAATTCTGAAAACCCCCGAAATATAATCCTCAAATATGTGGATAGCAGAGTCCTTGTATTTGAGCTTGCCTCGTAGTTTCCGGGACGCTCGCAAAACCAGCTCCCGTGTTTTGAAGTGATGAAAGCATATCACGACAGCCTGAGGTCAACCCTAGGGCCATGGCTTAGCAGCTAGCGTGCAATGCGCCCTATCCAGCCTCGGGGGTGAAGGCAGAGTATCCGCACCAAGCACCTCAAAAAGAAGTTGGGAGAAAAAGGCTGTTGGCCTGGAGCCCTCAACATCCTCTGGTAGCCCGACGATTCTGATGTTGTTACGGCGACTCCTGCCTTCAAGATCCAATACCTTAGCCTTGAGCTTAGCATTGTCTGCGACCAGATCAGATAGCTTAGCCTGGATATCCGTGACATCAGTGGAAGTAACGTCTGCAGACCGTTCCAAACCGGTGATGCATGTGGTATGGTCGTCAACAGTGGCCTGGACAGCGTTCAGCTTCATCTCGTATTTGGAATACGTGTCTTTAATCTCCGCCAGTAGCTCCGCTTTTGTCTCCGCTAGTTTATC